TGAAAAAATTAATCTTAGTGTTTTACATGTGGTTCATTTTACAGTTTAGCACACCTGACTGATAGTGTTTTTATACTGTATTAATTTTATCTGATTTTAGTCTGATACACACATTTAACATGGTAAGTTCGATTAAATCGTGCTCCTAATAGTTACGTTGTAGATAATGTGCAGTAAAAACCGATGAAAATTATTATAATTTTATGATAAAACTGATAATCTGAAACGTTTATTTTAATTGATTTATGATACTTATGTCCTTTTTATAAGGTTTTTGTGTTTCTTTAGAGTAAGAGGGGGAGAAGAAAACTGAAGGAGAAGAGTAAGTAGCAATATATTTATTTATCTATTGACGATTGGTCAGTGATATAGGTATATAACATTCACGCAACAAAGCCAAAAAATGAAGTGTCGCATATAAAAGATGTGTAAAATTAGGGTACAGACTACACCGGAGGAAGAATAAAATCGGTATCTGTAGGAGTCGGTCCCAGATGGTGGTAGGGTCTATCATATTTAATTTTTATTTGCAAGCATCACACGTCGAAGAAAAAAAATTAAATTTTAGAAACTCTTACGAGCAGTTATGGGTACTCAAGCCTTCAGCGACCGACATCTATGCCAGTTGTAATAAACCAAAATTGTAAAAAATAAAACAGAATACTACATCCTGACCACTGTGAATGAAAAGTATTTTTTTTTCCTTCTGAAGTTTGGATTCCAGCTCTCAAAATAATTACATACCTCTTTCGATAGTATAAGTTTGTTTGTTTATAGTTAAGCACAAAGCTACACAATTGGCTATCTGTGCTCTGCCCACCACGAGTATCGAAACCCGGTTTCTAGCGTTGTAAGTCCGCAGACATACAGAAAATCTAAGGTATAAGAAAATGTAAGGTGTCTACATTAAAAATCACTGTTATTAAACAAACAAAAAATGGAAATTTCCCTCCAAATCCTCAAACAGTAGTAATAAACTCACTCAAAAAACCATCCCGAACATTATACTGTTAAATACCCACGTGTTTAGCTGACACCATGTTCTAGTTACGAAAGATATTCTTAACACGCATGCTATAATCGAAGCAATTTAGATTAAAAACAAAAAAGGTTTTATTAGTTACTGTGACGACTTTGACCATATTATATAAAACTTTTAAATATTATTGTTTTGGAATTTAAGTAACATTTTATAATATATATTTTTAAATATTTTAAAAACTTTAGTCAATCACATAATTCCAAAATCTAATAACTAAAATATACACGCTATTAAGAAAATGTATATTTGATTACAAGTTTTGCAAAATTGGAGTAGCTGAAAAAATTATGGCATTTATTGTATGAATACTAGATGTACTTACGCAGGCTCCCCGAAGGTATTTTGTTTCAAAAGTAAATAAAACCAAAATTAAGAGTAACAAATATTTATTTTCTTGATTTTGAAGTTCATATGTCATGCTATGTTGTAGCCTACAGATTGCATAATTATTCTCGTGATTCATGGCATGCTCACATTTTACTGACGTAACGACAGTACAAATTACAACGTTAAGCATCCCTTATGTAACGTCATTTTAGTGTCTACTGACTGACTGACAGATAACACACTACTGTATAGTGGCGCGAGTGGTTAAAACAAGTGACCCCTCCAGGCGGCGTTTGGCCCCCTTTCGGGGAAATAAAGGATTGTCACTATTTGGATGTCCCTAAATTTGAAAAGACAATTCTAGAGATGTATCAAGAATATTCATTTCCATTGGCTAATTTCTTGTTTTTACATCTAACCTTAAGTAATGTGTTTGTGTATTAGATTTCGTACTATTTTCTATTTTCAATTCAGCGTGATATATGTGTATGGTAGTAACAGATTTATTAATATTTATTGTTTTAACTAAATAAATCATCTGTTTATCCCGAGGTTAAAACAAGTAAAACTGAATTTTAAGTCGTTTTTCATTTAAATTTTTTTAATAAAAATAACAATAATATGTTTGTAAACATTATATTTAAATATAATAAAGTCGGTATAAACACAGAAACTAATGAGATCTTTTATACTAAAAGAAAAATAGATATTAAAATTACATAATTCAATTGGTATATAAAGAGTAATTATAAAGAAAGTTTCACAATTCAGCGTTTCATATCTCACAAACGGTATGGTATAATAAGGTGAAATTGTCCAAGGATGGTAAGGATATCATGTGGATGCAAATGCTTCAGTGGTCACAGGTTGCCACTAGGGGCACCACTGTAGTTTCTCTCGCATATTTCGCATGTCGATCGCAGTGCAGTTCATTTGACCAACGTGAAATTAAAAAGTGTAAAGTGAGGTGAACTAGTGGCATGCTATTACACCAAAAGATGGAATGCCGATGCAACTTTCAGTGAATATCGTAGTAGTAATAGATAGAACAAGCCATTGCAAATGCACATGGGTGCAGATGCATGTTATGTCGCTCGATGTCTGGATTTGCCAATTGGTTCTTTTGTCAACTTTTGGAATGTTTCCTTGAAAGCTGCATCATGTCCAAGCACAGAAGAAGACAGATTTGGCCCGAAGTATTGATGTGCAAGTACAGTTCTTGGCAAGAATGGAAATCGATGACCAACAGTTTGCCTTATGGACTGGTGAAGTACACTTCACTCTTTTTGATGTCAAAACTCGCAACTACATTATCTGGTCGGAAAATAATTCACGTGTAAGATTTCTTGCATAATTCCATGATGCTGTGTTGACAGTGTGGTATGGTTTCACAGCTGACTTTGTTATTGGACCGTAACTCCATAATGCTGAGTTGACAGTGTGGTATGGTTTCACAGCTGACTTTGTTATTGGACCTTATCTTCATGATCCTGAGTTGACAGTGTGATATGGTTTCACAACTGACTTTGTTATCAGACTGCAACTCCATGATGCTGAGTTGACAGTGTGGTATGGTTTCACAGCTGACTTTGTTATTGGACCATAACTCTATGATGCTGAGTTGACAGTGTGGTATGGTTTCACAGCTGACTTTGTTATTGGACCGTAACTTCATGATGCTGAGTTGACAGTGTGGTATGGTTTCACAGCTGACTTTGTTATTGGACCGTAACTTCATGATGCTGAGTTGACAGTGTGGTATGGTTTCACAGATGACTTTGTTATTGGACCATCTTCTTTCGAAAACCATCGGTAAATGGACTAAAATCTCTTGCTGCAGTAATGAAAGTTGATAGGTTTTCATGCAGAGTGGTACCCCTCCCCATATTGGTAACCAGGTTAAACACGTCTTGCAGAATCTCTTTCAGGGCAAAATTGTTTCACGTCACTTTCCTTGTGAATGACCAATTCGTTCACCGGACCTAACACCGATTTCTAGCTCTGGGTGTACCTGTAGTCACGCGTGTATCATAGAAAGCATACAAAAGGATACAGTTGCCCAAGAAGTAACCACCATCCCATTTTAGATGCACATTGTTCACATTTAAGGTCCATTGTCACAAAGACGCAATGCATTCTGGATGCTGAAGGAGCACATTTGAACAATCGCTGTGGTTTATCAGATATGAGATTACAGTGACACTCCGGATGACAACATTTGACAACTATGGCATTTGCATCCACATTATATCCTTAATACTTTTGTTCAATTTAATCTTCCTATGGCATACAGTCAGTAAAATATGATGCGCTGAACTGCGAAACGTTCTTTATAATCACTGTGTAGATTTAAAACTTTAAGTGTTTTTCGTTTTCTTTTCATTAAAGTAGTAAATTATATTGGTATTTTTAGCCTAAGTGGCATCTTATGTGATACATGGACTACACGCCAGATCGTCGGAGATCCCTAGGTTTCAGGTATAGCCATCCATAATTTTGAACTATTAACCAGGGGGAAGGTAACCAACCAACATCACCATCTGGTACAAGTTCTTTATCTGGGTTTAATATGATTAATGGGTGACACTTGTAACAAAGTGTGGAACATGTTTGGCGATATTACGGCGCGACCTTAAAATTTCAAACCCTAATTCCGCACATGCTAACTAATGGTCCACGTTTGCTTTCAATAATTTGTGACCTAAGCATCTTATGCTTTCTTATGTTGTTCATATATATTTATGTGGTCATTATGGTGGCTAAAATGTAGACTGAAGGAGTTAAGTTTTATTTATCACTTGCAATTGTTCTGCTCTTTTTATAATCTTGTTTCATTAGGAGCATCTGCTCGTCTACAATCAGTTAATAGTAGTTTTTAGATGTGAGACACTGTGGACTTGAAAACTCATATCTTCTCTTAATTTGTAATTTTTTCTCCATATGTTTGTTTATTTTTGTTTTTGAATTTATACACAATGGACTATCTGTGCTCTGCCCACCACGGGTATTGAAACCCTGTTTCTAGTGTTGTAAGTCCGTAGACATACCGCTGTGCCATTGGCTTCCCCGTATGTGAAACTTCGGGATAGAGGATAAACATGATATACTGTGTATGTCCCTACCATTGTATGGGAACAACATCTTCAGATACCGCTATTACGAAGGCACACTTTGTCCTTCTCGTATAGACTGCATCCTACTTTTACTTGTTTATTTTATATTCAAAGCTTTTTGTTTTTTGTCTTATTGTATAACTGGGCGATGCTGTTATTTCACTATTTTTTTCAGATGTATAATTCCTCGTGCATTAGAACTTTAATATATCAAAAGGTCTTTCCCACTCGTAAATGTAGCATCCACTCCTAATATACAATACTTCCAAAACAAAATATGACGACAGTTGCATTAAATATCAGGAATTTTAATTGTTGTACTCTCATAGTTGATACCTTGTGCCCATTCCGTATTCTAACATTGTTGACATAATAGAATCACGCTTTGTGTGAATAGATTAATGCTCAGATATAATACGAGTTTTACATGTAAACAAAACTTCACAATTAATAACTTCATCCAATACATGATGTTACAATATTCATTTGCACGTCCGATTTTATTATTCGTCTCGTCAAATATCATTCTTTGATTTCTACAGAGTGATTAATTATCTCTAAGCTAAACAGAATATCTTGTGTAGTAGAATAACGTGATAGTGAGATCTTCTGTTTCATTCATTTTTTTATTATTATTTGTACAAAAGATTTTCTTCGAAGTCTATCACGCCCCAACTTTGCTGAAGGTGGTCAGTCTTGCAGTGTAGCTGTCTTCAAGCCAACTCGAACTTTACCTTGGAAAAGAGTTTTTAACAGTTACCCTTCAACGTCAAATAATTATAGTCGTCATGGAAACCTAACAGTTTAACATTATCCAAGTTGCTCAATCTTTCTTTAACCTGTATGTTTAAAATCAGGCTCCCAATCACATAGAACGATTAACAGTGAAATTAAATTGATAGTCATTCACGAGAGAGTAGTCATAAAATATTTGATTTTAATGCTAACTCTGAACTTATACGATTACACATTAAAACGCGAACATGATCTTTTTTATCTGTTCATCTTAAAATTGTCAAATTTGGAATATGAATAACTATTGCAGCATAATTTCACTATGTAATCATCACAATAACTTCAATAAAGTAATAATGTTTTTAAAGTCTTGAGCACATTGTTTATTTACAAAAATGAAATAAAATCTACCTATCAGGAATTTCTCAACAATTTACTTCACAAAAAACAAATTAAAGTTTTACATTGGCTATTCTAACATTTCAGTTTTTCCAATGAGGATCTTTACAAGAAGATTAGAAGTTAAAATATTTTAAATTTTGTTGTCTACTAAATTGTTGACCAAAACCTCAACAACAATACCAAGTTTTGTCTAAAGTCAGATATATCTTATTATAATGCTATTAACAGCATACAGCATGTAGTTCACCAAATACGTTAAATTTTAGATTTTTGAACAAAAGTATAATTTAATAACCAACATTAATCTTTTAACCTACAATTACATGGGAGAAAACATAAAATATCATGAGGTCTTTACTATTTTAAAATGCTATTTACATTCTGGGAGAGCGTATAACACTCTTATTTGTACAGTTGTCTCAACACACAATACTGTGTTATTGATAATTTTTTTTATTAAAAAGATTGACAGAGCTATGAACGAAATATTTCGGAAAACTATGAAATTAGTTAAAATTAGTGTTGAGTGCGAGTCAAATATCAAGAGTAAAAATTAATAAATTTTATTTAATATTTTCATTCTGAATTATTTTTAAGAATTATGAAATATATAATACTATAGGGGTAAAAAGAACTATGATCTAAAAGAAAGTAATTAGCTTAATGTCAATGGCACGTGCAATTCGATAGAATCAATTTGTATTTTTGTAATTGTGGTTAATACTTGTGAAATCAACATGATTGGCAGAAAATATTTTTTAAAAGACCACTAATGGCTCAGTAGACAAGTAGAAACCAAACTTGTATCGGTGATAGTAATAGATATGGGGGTATGAAAAACAATCTTTAATTACCCAAACTATGTTTGTATATAAATTCACCAAGTCATGATCAGAGAAAACAATAAGAAATAATTCTGTAAATAGGAGCAGCCCAATGTGTTATTATTGGTTTCCCTTTGAAATGTTACGTACACAAATGAGGTAATAACTACAGTCACATATTTGCTATCAAATATTTTTAATATGCCACCCGACTAAAACAGCAAGTTATGAAAATAGACCCAAAATAATAAATCAAGTATCCGATTAGTGATGAGTGAAATTATGGTAAAAAATCTTAAAATTAAATTAAAGCACAGCGCTAACATGGTGCTGATAACCCGTGCTTAGTAAATACATGATAACATTACATATAGGTAATAAGAGGTTATATTAAGAACAAAAAAAAGTAATTCCAATAAATTTATAGTTTATCGTTGCTTTCACAAATGTGGGTAAGTGTATTAGGAAAAATTGCTATATTAAGTAATATATATGTTCCAGCAATTACTAAAAAATATCTCAGTTACCATTAATGACACCAGGTGGTTTGATTGTTTTCGGATATTCGTGTAAATTTACTCAAGGGCTATCTGTGCTAACCGTATTTAATTTTGAGCTAATAGACTAAGTGGAAAGCAACTAGTCAGCAGTACCTACCGTAAACTCGTGGACTAATACTGTCTGATTAACTAGTGGGATTTGACCTTTACTCTTATAAAGAATCCACGGACCTAAAGTTCGAAGCACGTTTTTCATCGTTCTGTTATTGAGGTAACAGAACGCGAACGATGGACCCGCAGATCTACAGTCCAGCACGCTAAACATTAAGTCACGCTCAGCTTAGGTGGTTTGAAGTAGAGTTTTTGTTGTAAATATGTGTTGCCTAAAGGTAATAGCTGTCACAACTAAATGAAAACCGGTAATAAAACGTTCTTGTGAAATGGTTTCCTGTATTTTCTTAATGCTGCAAATTGTTATACTTATGAAGTATGTAAACAAAATATATTTCTCCTCAAAGACGAAGTATGACAGAAATTTAAGTGTAGCTATACTTGAATATCTAAATGTCACAAAAATTGGCATCTATCTATACCTTGATGACTAAATGTCATAGAAATTCGAGTCTCTACTTTAAACTTTTCATGTTATTTACAGAAAGAGAATCGCCGAAACCTTTGACTTTTATAAAGAGTTCTTAACAAATAGACAAACTATTACAAAGTTGCCAAACAGGCACTGTTACTATTTATACACCTTCATCTTCTTTCAAGTGAACCAATCAGAAAACCTTTGGTGGAGTGTGTGGCTTCATTTCCTGCGTGTTGGCTGCCCTCTTTCGTTCTTAAGAAAGGGAGTGTGATTTACGTCATCTGAAGGCTCCACTTTATTAGGATATATGTATATATATTCAAGATGATGAAAATATTGTATTTATAGCTAGTGATTAACTTTTCCAGTTGTAACCACATATATTCGTATTGGCGAATTTCTAAACATTTTTCTGATGTTATCGTAAATGATTTATTAAGACGTTTTTTCGTTTGTTTTTGTTTTTCAGTATATAGCAAGTAGCACCACCTACAGGGAATAGATATTTTGGGCATATGCCTTTTCTTAAGCTCGCATGCTAGACCAACTCCACGCCGATAAGTGAGAGTATTGGTTAACAAAAATAGAGATTTATATATCAGGTGACGTCAAACAAGGTTATTCCACAAAGCTAAACCAACCACCAGGTGTCTAAGCAAGAAAGACTTCCAGATAACCTGAACAAGAAACTGCACTTGCTTTTTGAACAGTCAAGATGGACGACAACGTTCGGCTAAGCGAAATGGCATACCTCAGTATTCCGGACAAGGAGAGGTCCGAGAGTCCATCACCTGCAGAGTCCTTTGGGTCTACCACAGACATGACCGCTCCTATAGCTGACTTTAAGTATCATCGACAGGAACCGGTAATAAATGCTTTTCATACCTTTTAAATTTAATTTACTATTGCCAATTTAAAATTAGAAGAATTATAAGTTGAAGGAACATTTATAGGTGTCTACTTTTCATGTAGATAATTTTTTAAAAGTTTTATGTGTATGACTAGACTAAAAATAATAGGAACATTTTTAGTAACTTTAGTTATAAAGATCCGTTCGATGGAACGTTGTTTTTTGTTGTTTTTTTCTGATGGGCAGCAAGACTATCCACTGTACTTGTCTGATACCCAAAGAATATATACAAGTTTCTATGTGAAAAACTGTAGATTATTTTCATAACATTACGACTCGGGCATTTATTGTACTTATTGAAAAAAAACCATATTTGTAACAGTATCTATTGTGTTAAGACAAAATGAAAAGTCCAATGTCTTGAAATTACTATTTGGTTAATAAAAAAAGGAAAAAAAGAGAAGTAAGTGAATTTAAAATTTTAAAAGTTATAGAATCTGTAAATTTCTCAGCAATAAATACCAAAGAATTAAGTTTCAGTATTTCGACAAGAAAATAAATATTTATTTATCTTTGTATGGCCTGTGATTATCTAAGCAACGGAAAAATTTTCATTAAGCAGTTTGCTATACGTATTATTGTAAATAACAGACTACATGGTTAAAAAATAATGACGATTGTTTTTAATTTCATTCCAATGTAAAACGTTAAAACCTTAACAATCATTCGTCTCTTCAATCGCTTATTGGTACTATTATTTCATTTGTGAATAGCGGAAATTAGTGGTGGTTTTCTGGAGCTTGTAAGCAAAGTCTACAATGCTACGAACATTATCAAAATTGTAAAGTAATTGGATAATTAATTCAAGGCCCACATCTCATCAAGGTTTTGTTTTTGGATTTGTGAAATACGTTATTGCTTCAATCGGTTGTGGGAATCTTAATGAATCAAACACACAAGCTCTACATACATTTTGTGGTATTCTACATCAGCATTTCTCAACCCATGGGCTGCAAACCAAAATTGGGTGGTCAGAATGTGTGAAAGGATCGCGAACAGACTTAGAAAATAATTATTAGCTTATCTATTTAGTTAGTAAATAATTAGTAAGCCAGAAGTGCTTTTTTTTAACTATAGCTTTTTACTGTATCGCGACTAGCCATCATTCATTACAGATGGATCGTGAGCCAAAAATAAAGGTTGAGGACCACTGTTTTAATCGCGAACATACTTTGAAAATAATTATTAGCTTAGTTATTTAGTTAGTAATTATTTAGTAAGCCAGATGTGCTTTTTTTAACTATAGCCTCTTTCTGGGTCGCGACTAGTCACCATTCTTTACAAATGGATCCCGAGCCAAAAATGAAGGTTGAGGACCACCGTTCTAAATCATTAATGTGTGTAAAAAATAGTTCAAAAACCACTACATCATAAAAAGCAGTACATGGGTTGTATATTCTATATTTAGAACATCATATAACTGACTATTGTAAAAAATGTTATCTGGAATAGTTGTATGGCTAGTATAACTTAGTACAAGCGATGACATTTGAACCATATGTGTTTAGTGTAAGCCATGCTGATTATTTAGTATGATGAAAATCACCAGACAATTTATAAGATTGCCGACATTTTTGTCTTAGTGCCGGTTTGTTTGTTTGTATTTTTTGTAAGCACAATGCTACGCAACGGGGTAACTGTGCTCTGGCCACCGCAGGTATCGAAATACGATTTTTAACGTTGTAAACCCTCAGACATACCGCTGAGCCAACGGGAGGCCACAGCGATGGTATGTGTTTATATATATATAATTTGCAAATGTCAGAGGTAAGTATTGAACTTAAAAGAAAATCGGTTCACTTTTAAAATGTTCATAATTTGTAGCTATAAACGTTATTGATGAATATTGACAGTGATACTTGATAAAACTATATAACTTTAATATATTCTTCCTGTAAGTTAAATACAATTATATTGTGTTTCAGAAAGCGGTTTTTAACTCTGGTGTTTAACACGTAACTGACACACACACATATATATATATATTTAAGTGAATAAACAGAGTTGTTTAAACATTTGTTTAACAGCTATATTTATTCAATTATGTACAAGCAGCCCAGTGTCGGCTAACAATACGAAGAAATAAATTGTGGCGGGATGCTACAAGTTCTTCAAATACCTATATAATGATAGGTTTCTTTTATGTGAGTATAAAACACTTAAATACACCAGTTCGATATATATTTAAGTGTTCTTAACTGCCTGTAGATGAAGTTGCTTCATCACCTAGCTTTTCTGAGGTTATTTTTAGAAGAACTTTTACAAAAGATGCAAGTTACGCCCGCGCCAAATAGCTGACTAACATTAACAGGCGGATGTGTCACATGTATGGATTCTCATGTTACGCTGTAAACCTTTCGGTCTTTCAGCTGCAGTAAAAATTAGGAAATGAATAGTTTGTAGTATTTCTAAATTATCAAATGTCAAAGTGCGTGACAAATTTGACAATCGGGATAACCTTTTTTAAAGGGCAAAGGGTATTAGGTATAGAAATAGTAACTATGAAGCTCTAACTATATAGTCTTAGAAATTTAAAGCAGGAAAGTGAATAGTACACTTGAATGAATTTCACTAAATTATAGTTAACTTTAAGACCAAACTTATTTTTATGACATGACCTGCTCCTAACTTAATTTTTGAAATCTGAGACGTTTCGTACTCGCTAAAGTCGTGCAATTGGTATAAGCATTTGCAATACTGTATCCTGAAGAAGGCTTCATCATGAAGTCCGAAACGTCGCCTATTTTGAAATACTGAAACAAGAGTTCAAGCTTCCTACAGTTTCAACATAACAATCATCAATACATGTTAATTCTTTATCATAATTCACTAGGACTTCAGGTTATAACTAGATGTAGGCGCAACCTTGACCTAATATCAAGGTCCAATACCATTTATTGAAAATTTACATCATACTTAAAATCCACCTTGAGTGATAACTAATAATTAATCAAACTATCATATAACAAATAGTCCTCTACATCTTTATTTCTTTATAACTGATAAATTTTAATCAAACTATCATATAACAAATAGTACTCTACATCTTTATTTCTTTACAACTGACTCCCCCCAGTGACACAGCGGTATATTTTCGGACTTACAACGCTAGCATCCTGGTTTCGATACCCGTGGTGGGCAGAGCACAAATAGCCCATTGTGTAGCTTTGTGCTTAATTACAAACAAACAAATTATAACTGATAAATTTTAATCAAACTATCATATAACAAATAGTCCTCTACATCTTTATTTATTTATAACTGATAATAGATGTCTTTTTTTCCTCCTGAAGAATTAGTTGGTATGTTAAGCAAAAAATATAAAATCTTAACTGTTAATGCTGTTGAGAGAAGGTAGATTGTGGATTCCAACCGCCTTGGAAGTGCTGTTTCGGGTAACTTCCTTAATATGACTCTCTCGTCAAGAGGATTTAGTGCTTCCAAGGCTGTTCGAGTCCACAATCAATCTTTACTCATCATGAAAACACAGCTGAAATCATTTGTCAAAGTCAACAGTGGTGTCGAAATTCTGTATTCTGAGCGCACTCATCGTTACTATGGAAACTCAGTGAAAGTCGAAAGGACAAGCCAGCTACACATTCATTAGCTATAGTAAGAAGCCTGTCTACTCTAGTTGAGGAAAGGTTTGAAAAGACCAAGAAGTTGGCTATTCAGAATTTCTGCTAAACGTATGGATTTGCATAAAATCACATCCCTAAATTCCTGAGCTTAACTTGAACTCTGATAATTATCCAATGGTGAGGGACGGGAATGTTCACATCTTTTCTTTAGCTGTTGACAGTTGGGGCTCTCAAGTTTCCCCCACGTTACCTCCACGTGTGGAGTCTGGGGTGAAGCACATGGATTGGTCAGTTCAGTATCAATTGAGGACATCGCAAAGAGAGGTAATGTGCATATCTTAGATGTTTCTGGTCAACACTGCTATATTATAATAATTACATGATCTGATTAAAAATGTATTTTTGACGCACAGAGACTCCATATGGTGACTTCCATTGGTGTAAGATTCAAACGTTCTGTTAAACATAAGTCTAACTTACTTGCGTCATATGTTATTTTCGTACGTTATCAAGTTATTCGTAAGCTAGCAAATGGACTCACAAAATGAAATACGCAATAAAAATTGTATATTTATCTGTTATATTGAAATGCAGGTTTATATAGTGCTTTTTTTAAAAGAATAGAAGCTACAAGGAAATCTTAACATTTGTGAAAATTTGCCAAAGAGTAAACGAGATGAAATGGTATGAGAAGGAAGCAACAAGGATTTCTTTATTTTCAAAATACGATTAAAGAGGGCGCGGTAATTACTTTTCATTTGAGTGATGGGTCTAGTAGTCTGCCGATTATTCAACAATTTTTATATTATCTTTATAATCAAGAGATGTAATTACGATAAATTTATTTTTTGATAGCTTTCTGTATTTTTTACTTTACGTAAAAAAAAAAAAAAGAATAAAAATTACCTGTCGAAAGTGCGTTATATCTACGTTAGATGGCACTACATACTACAGACACTGTTAACGGTTGTTGTATTGATTATTCAACAATTTTTAAATTTTCTTCATTATTGAGAGGTGTAAATCTGGTAAGTTATTTTTCAGAAGCCGCTATCGTACAAAGTGACCTGTCCATCTTGCTTTGAATCTACACTAGATGGCACAACATACTATAGACGCTAAAAACTGTTGTTCCTGTTTTCGGTGCAAAGGTACACAATAGGCTATCTACACTCTATCCACCACGGGGAATCGAACCCTGTGCTTTAGTGTTTGCACATTTCTTGAAGAATAAGCAGCAGAATAGTGCTTAATTTATAGACCTGACGTGAAAGATCATTTCTATGTAAATGCTTGGTAGGAAATAGTCTGAAAAATGTAACTCTTGATATAGAAATTCTTAGTACGTTTAATACTAATTAAGGTCAATCGGTGACGTGTAAGGTGCTAATTGTGAGAGTGTTACTACTCACGGAAAGGAGAAGGAAAACGGGTGTCTCGAAAGAATGACACAACCGTCAACAAAGGAGTTTGCTGCCATGAGAATGAGGTGCATACTTCAATCAAAGATGGTGTCAGGACATGATGTATTTTCAGATTCGATGATGAGGAGCCCACTTTGAGATTAATAATGGCTGGAGACGGCTTGAATGGGTAATAAAGAAAAACTTTAATATAAGTATCTGATGATGACAAAACCTTGTCGAAATGTTGTACATTTGCTGTTATGTTGAACTTATATTAAAGTTTTTCTTCATTACCCATTCAAGCCGTCTCCAGCCATTATGATGTACTTTCATTAGCACCCTTAATGAGGCTGTAACAATATGAAAGAAATATACGACAAACTCAAATGTGGGGAAAATATCTAATGAAATTATTTAGAAAACGGATAAACATTGCCAGAAGCTAAGAACTATTGAGCCTACTTTTTCAAAATAATAACAATAAGTTTATAATGGCACCAGCAACATTTTAAAGTCATAAATAAACTGCAATATTCATGATACGATCCGAATCTAATTTTCAATATTTATTTGTTTCAGAAGTTTCTCGCAAAGCTACAGAAAGAGCTACCTAATAGACTAGAAAAAAGGCAGCTAGTCAACACCACCCACCGCCAACTCTTGGGGTACTTTTGTTTGACTGAATAGTAAGATTAAACAACAATCTCATCGCGCACCAAGTGCTGAACGTGTTTTTGCAGTAACAGGTCGAGAACCACAAATACTCGGATTCACATTGAACACATTAATCATCGAATATGCTAAACATTGAATAAATTAATCATCGAATATATTAGCCATTGAATACATTAACCATTCGAATATACTAACCATTGAATACACTAACTATTGAGCTACGCCCGGTATACCTAGTTCCAAGTTATTAACATCAGCCAAAGTTTTATTCAATCTAACTACTAATACCATCAGATCTACATCTGCCTTTGGCGTCAGGGAAACAGGACACAAGCAGCTTGAAATGGTTTAAATGACGTCAATAGATTCACAGTAGTGTCATTATTAGCAGTTTATGACGTAAGTTCTGACATGTTCTCGACCTTAACATTTCCGTATGCTCATTTTATATGAGGTCTCGAATGATGATTCGAGAGAACGCTTTGGAATACATATTTGATTATGCAACTAACTTCTCATAGCTCTTAATTGGTATTCACTGTATTGTTTGGATAGTTTTAAACTTCTAGAAAATAAGACGACACTGTTTACTCGGGTTTGGAATTCCTTATTCAGAGTTATCATGAGAAACAATAAGAATCTTATAATTATTGCACCCGTTGTTTTAGCTAAGAAGTAAAATAAACAACAAAACACATATACACATTTTCCTGTATTGGATTTGTGTTCGAAACCAACATCCAGATCAGACTGCAACATATAATTCACGTTACAATCACAGCAAAAGCATTTTTTCCAGTAATTGTATTCCATCAGATAAGAGTAGCCCAAGAGCTTTTAGTTCAAAATTAGGGATGGCTGTGCGTAGGTAGCTCTCGTGTATCTTTACGCAAAATTCCGAAATGAACATAAATATCAGACATAATTGTCAGTTTTTGTTTGTTTAGGAAATGTATGAACGCCTCCTTCTTTTTGGTAATGTACTTTAAGGGGTTTTTCAAACGAAACTACATGAGTTTTATATATTTTACCAGAAAACTGTTCTTTTTACATTTTTTTAATAATTAGGGAACAGTGTTCCTTCTATAAAAGAATCAGAAACATTCAGAATTTGAAACAAAACATTATGCTATAATTCGTAAATGATTTGTTTTATAAGTGTTATTACAAAATTTTAAAAAGGAAAAATACAGAACAACATATGTATAGTCATCGTATTGACTAACCTTATATTCGTACACTTGATGCTTTTCTGAAACCTATGAACAAGAGAAAATGAAATACTTGTCAAAACAGTTTATAGTATTACGTATTATAATTTCAAATAGTCTGAAATTGAGTTAAATAATACTTTGGATTTAGCAGTTAAATAAAAGCCGATATATATACTCAGTTTATGATATTTACCAACAAGATTGATACAGTTCTCTCTTTTTTTTTAACACAAATATGTTTTAATATACAAACAACAATACAATTTACAATAGCAGTTATTACAAATAGTTGTTACACACAATGATTTATATACAAAAAATTTTACAAACCTACAAGCAATATAAAACATTCTTTCTAGTCTGGAACTTCCTTGATATCTATTCACTTAACAGAGAGCTAGTTAGCTTTGTCCTTCGTTATTCACCAGCCACACACGCTGAGTTTTCCACCGTTTAAGCTAGGTAATGTTTTCGTAAAAGTACTAATGTCCGATGAGAATCCACTGAAATTAAATTATTTCTAATGTTCGAAGTTTGTGAATGCTCCTGGTCAAATATCTGAAGTTTTCCGATTGATAAGCGTTATAGCAATCACCGTTATCGTTTTCAAATTTTATAGCGCACTGACTATAGCAAACTAATAATAGTTACTCTCTTTTTTGGCGCGTCGCGTTGGTTATATTTATAGGCGTGTAGAGGCTTTTTCGAATTTTCAGCTTTACGTAACAATGTTGGCGCTAACACAAGCGTTTACTTACACACACATATATTGTTGATTCTTACTCTAGAGAATCTTCTACAACTTTGGA